GAGTGAGTGTAAGTGTGAACCACCAGGTGGTATTCGTGTAGTTAGTTGATGGGGTTTATCAGGGAGATAAGATGTTTTCTAATGGTAGTTTTGAAGGTGATGAATGTGTCTGCAGTTCTAGAGTTCTCAGGAAGGGTGTTCCAGATTTTAGGGCCTTTGACATACATTGAATTTTTGTAAAGGTTTAGTTGGACATGGGGAATGTCGTAGAGATGTTTGTGTCTGGTGTTATGCCTGTGGGTTCTGTCACAACTATCAAGAAAGCGTTTTAGGTCAAGGTTGATATTGGAGTTTAAGGTCCTGTAGATGTAGATTGCACAGTAGTAAGTGTGGATGTACTGAACAGGGAGTAAGTTTAGATCTATGAAGAGTGGGGGGGTGTGTTGCCAGGGATGGGATTTAGTGATTATTCTTACTGCAGCTTTTTGTTGGGTTATTATTGGCTTTAGGTGTGTTGCTCAGTTGATCCCCAAGCACAAATAGCATAGGTGAGGTATGGATAAATAAGTGAGTGGTATAGTGTGAGAAGGGCATTTTGCGGCACGTAGTATCGTATCTTGGAGAGGATCCCAACTGTTTCGGATACTTTTTTGGTTATGTGTTGGATATGGGTGCTGAAATTCAGGTTGTTGTCAAGGTATAGGCCTAGGAATTTGCCCTCATTATGTCTGGTAACTAAGTGTTGTCGATCTTAATGTTAATTTGTGCATCTCCTGCTCTGCTACCAAACATAATATAGTAGGTTTTGTCAGTGTTAAGCGTAAGTTTATTGGCTGTCATCCAAGTCGATATTTTGATCAGCTCCTCGTTAACAATGGTGTTGAGGGTGGCAAGATTAGGGTGAGAGATGACATAAGTCATGTCGTCAGCAAAGAGAATGGGTTTCAGGTGTTGGGATACGTTTGGAAGATCATTGATGTATATGAGGAAGAGCAGGGGACCAAGGACACTTCCCTGCAGAACTCCAGTATCAAGTGGCCGTGTTGTTGATGCTGTGTCTTTAATGGTAACATACTGATACCTATTAGTAAGGTAAGATTTGAAATAAGCAAGCGTATGGCCTCTTATACCGTAATGGTCAAGTATGTGGAGTAGGATGTTGTGGTCTACTGTGTCAAAAGCTTTTCTTAGGCCAGCAAAGGTTAGTTTGAGAGATTTAAAGATCGTAGTGGCATACATAGTGTGATAAGGCGTGGTGAGGCTGTCAGTTCTGACAAAAAAAGCAGCTGAAAAATATATTCAGGACTTCAAGGGGTACATAGAAGCTGAAAAATTCAAACCCCAACAAGTGTTAAATTGTGACGAAACAGGCCTCTTTTGGAATAAAATGCCAAACAGGACCTGCCTTACTCAGGAGGAAAAGGCACTCTCAGGACACAAGCCTATGAAAAACAGGCTAACTCTCATGTTTTGCAGTAATGCTAGTGGTGATTGCAAAGTAAAGCCTTTACTCATGTATTACTCTGAAATTCCCAGTGTTCAAGAAAAACAGTGTTGTCAAGCCTAAATTGTGTGATGTGGAGAGCAAACAGTAAGGCATGGGTCACAAGGGAAATTTTCCTTGACTGGTTCCATGACGTGTTTGGCCCCAGTGTGAGAAAATACCTCCTGAAAAATAAATTGGAACTCGAGTGCCTCCTGGTAATGGACAATGCACCTGCTCATCCTCCAGACTTGGAAGAGCGAATGGTGCCAGAGTTTAGCTTCATCAAAGTGAAATTTTTGCCCCCTAATACCATTCCTCTCCTCCAGTCCATGGACCAGCAAGTCATTTCAAATTTCAAGAAACTGTACACCAAAGCAGTGTTTCAAAAGTGTTTTGAAGTGACCTCAGACACTGAATTGACCCTAAGAGAGTTCTGGAAAGGTCACTTCAGTATCTTCAGTTGCCTAATCCTTATAGGTAAGGCTTGGGAGGGAGTGACTTGCAGGACTTTGAACTCTGCTTGGAGAAAATTGTGCACACAATGTGTACAACAGAGGGATTTTGAAGGGTTTGGGACTGACCCTGAGGAGCCTATGCCAGTTGTGGAATCTACTGTGGCATTGGGGAATTCCATGGGGTTGGATGTGAGTTTGGAGGATGTGGAAGAGGTGGTGGAGGACGACGATGAAGAGCTTACCACTGCAGAGCTGCAAGAGTTTGAGGTGCAATACCAACAGACCACAGCTCAGGAATTTCCTTGAAAGGAGGAGGAAGAGAGATTGAAGAAGATGCCTTCTTCAAAGATTAAGGACATTTGTGCAAAGTGGACCAAAGTGCAAACATTTATGGATGAACATCACCTTGACACAGCTGTTGCATGCCGTGCTGGCAACATCTACAATGACAATGTTGTGTCCCATTTTAGGGAAATCTTAAAGAGGTGCCAGAAACAGAGCTCTCTGGACAGACTTTTGGTGCGACAGAGGTCCAGTGACTCAAGCTGGTGCTAGTGGCATTAAAAAAACAAAGAAGGGATGTAACTCCAGAAAAGGACTTGGTACCTGAAGTCCTTATGGAAGGGGATTCCCCTTCCAAACAATTGTAAACTCCTCCATCCTCTTCCCTCCTCCTGTCTCATCACTCATCAATACGTCTTCAATAAAGGTAAGTGTCATTTTATTATTTATCTTTTTAATTATTTATTCTGCATGTCTCATTGTTTTCTGTGTAGGGAAATGTATATTTCATGTAAAAAAATTATTATGTTTAATACTTTTAGGTGTCTGGAATGGATTAATTGGATTTCCATTATTTCTTTTGGGGAAAATTAATTCAGATTAAGACAGATTCGGTATAAGACACACTCTCTGGGACGGATTAATGTCATTAACCGGGGGGTCCAATATATATTGCCGAGATCGCTAACTTCACGAAAGCATAATTCCTTAAGTTTTCCATCAAATTTCGTACTTTTGGTGTCATTACCATCAGGAAAAATTCTCTATCATTTCATAAGAATTTGTTTTTCGAATATTTTGCGACAGAGAGAGACTTCAGGATTTGGGGTCTTGACAGTCAAAGGGTTAAATCACTTGTTCTCTGTAGGCTGGAATATTGCCGTACACTAATGGCCTCTTTCAAGGCAGGCAAAATTGCAGACCTGGAGAATATACAGAGAAATTTTGCTGCCCTTGTAAGTACAATAAAGCACCTTAACCCCTTGACTGTCACAACCCCAAATCCTGAGGTGTCTCCTGATGTCGCAAAATTCTGAAAAAAAAAACGTATTTTTTCTTGTGAAATGATAAGAGAATCTTTTCCCGATTGTAATGAGACCAAAAGAATGAAATTTGATGGAAAAATGATGGAATTACGTTCTCACAAAGTTAGCGACCTCGGCGATATTTACGAATCGGCGATTTTGCCCACTTTGAGCCCTATTTTCGGCTAATTCCATTGTTCCAGTCGACCAAACTCATAGCTATTTCTTTAGAACTCCATTTTTTCTATCGACTGAGTGGTCAGAAATTTGCAATTTGGCCAATTTCACAAAAAATAAAAAATATAACAGTTTCAATATAGGGTCCAGAATGAACAATGCAGACATTCCTGGCTCTAAAATAACATTTTCTTTGTTCATCAGTCACATCTCCAGGCCCCTCTGATATTACTCTTGCTTTCTATTTTGAATTTTTATTCAAACAAAAAATAGATTTACTGTTATGCAGTCTACTGCAATATTGTAATAATTGTATAAATACTGTCAACCCATTCATAACTGCATATCAGAATGGCTACTTGGACATTTATTGGAAAATGACATCATTTGTTTACTTTTGAACATCGGCAAAAAATCAAACATTTCCCCTACTTTGAGCTCCATTTCAAGGTCCTTTTCATAGTAAAACCAATCAAAATCACCACTATTTCTATAATATGTTTTCCATTCTATCAAATGAGACCAAGAAAATTAGAATACAACCATAAATACTATACGAAAGTAGACTACAAAGTCGGCATTTTAATTAAATAAAACAGTCGGAGTTTTTTTTTCTCATTATGCACTGCGTGCTGTAGGATTTTTTTATATGGTGCACACAGACCCATTCTCTCACATGTGGGCCTACCAGCTTTCTCCTGCTTGATTTGAAGCCGCTAGAATTTGAGTATATATACGTCAAACATGGTGGCTCATAAGATGTATATATATGACTGAAACAGTCAAAGGGTTAATTACTGGAAAAATATTTGAAGTCCCTTGACCTGTACTCCTTGGAATGCAGGTATGAAAAATACATTACAATTTACACCTGGAAAATCCTAGAGTCCCAAATCTGCACACAGAAATCACTCCCTATGAAAGCAAAAGACTCAGCAGGTGGTGCAGCATCTTCCCCAGTGAAATGCAGGGGTGCCACGAGTATGCTAAGACATAACACAATATGTGTCGGTTAAGTGTCAGAGGCCAAGACTGTTCAACTGCCTCATAGCATACATAAGGGGGATTACAAATAGACCCCTGGCTGTCTTCAAGAAGGTGCTGGACAGGCACCTAAAGTCAACACCTGACCAGCCAGGCTGTGGCTTGTACATCAGTTAATGTGTAGCCAGCAGTAACAGCTTAGATGATCAGGCCCTGACCCACCACAAGGCCTAGTCATGGAAAGGGACATGGGGAGAGTTGAAAACCAAAACATCCTCCAGGTATACACCAGGTAGAATCCAGGGCTTAAGTGCACAACCTCTTAACTCGGAACCTGGTAAGTCAGGGTCCTACTGTGTATACATATGTGCAAAAAAGTAACCTAACCTTGGTGTTTTTTTTAAGTTGTAACAATTACTATTGGTGTTGATTTCCCTATGCTAGTAGTGTGTGCCAAGCCAGACATGCTGAAGTGCAAGTCTAGGATTTTCATCTTTCTATTTTAAATAAATAATGATCAGCTTTGAGTAGCTTAGCAAGGAAGTGAAGCTTCAACAGACTTACAAAGTAGTTCCTACATCCTAAATTACATCGGGCCATAACATTGAATAATAAGGTTAAACAACAAACATTTCATTAGTCTGAATTATCTCACAACATCATTCTTACCGAGAGGATTTCTTCTAGTTGGTTTTCCTTATTAATCTTTTTATGTATTTTGTTCTTTTGTTGAGTTTGGTCAGCGTTGTCAGCACTGTCAGCCTCTCCTTCACTCTCCTCGCATGATCCAATATCTTCTGAGCTGTCTGTTCCTTCTTGGAAATCTTTGAAACTGAAAATATAGCTTTGCCATAATAATCTATTCACAGCATTAACCACAAAAATTATAGCTCTTGGGTAATCCATTTAGCTATACAGAACAGATAATTAAGATCCATGATGAAATTATCTCACAAACAAGAGAAAAATAAGTGAGGTGCCCCAGGTTAAATTAAGAGTACAGGAAGGCCCTACTTATACAGTGGGTTAGGTTCCACATGTTTCACACATGTTTTCACTTTTAAATGCATATACAGTAGGGCCCAGTTTTATGGTGTTCCACTAATACAGCAATTTCAAATTATGACCAGTGAGTGGTCTTTCAAATACAGCGTACCCCACCTGGTTTGTTTACATTCCCTGTGAGCACATCTCTCTATTATGTCTGGAAATTTTTCAAAATTTCAAGCATTTTAAAGTTATTGTATATTTTACATGTACTCTGATAATTATACAGTGGACCCCTGAGTTTCGTATTTAATCCATTCCACAGAGTCTGCCAAATGATGAAACTGCTGAATGGCGAAAACATTTTCCCCATAAGAAATAATGGAAATAAAATTAATCTGGTCCAGATACCCAAAAATATTAAAAAAGAAATTTTTTTTTTTTCAAATTAACCCTTTGACTGTTTCCGACGTATAAATACGTCTTACGAGCCAATGTTTCTGACGTATTTATACGCATAAATTCTAGCAGCTTCAAATCAAGCAGGAGAAAGCTGCTAGGCCCACATGTGAGAGAATGGGTCTCCATGGTCAGTGTGCACCATATAAAAAAAATCGGGGAGCCAGTGGTGCATTGTGGGAATGCCATTTCAGTTGTCATTTTTCAGCATGTCTAGTGGTAAGAAATATGTGATTCCCCAGCAAATCTGGGACTCTTCTTTTCCCCAAGTGATGCTCTAACACAGATGGAGTGTCAGTGAAGATAAATTTTTCATGTTTGGAGGAGTTTGAGACCAAAAGAATGGAGGAGGAGGAGGGGGGAGGGGGGAGGAAGAGGAGGAGGAGGAGGAGGGAAGGAAGAGGAGGAGGAGGAGGAGGAGGGGAGGAGAAGAGGAGGAGGAGGAGGAAGAAGAAGATGTAATAATATTGTTCCCTTGAAGCAAGAAAAAAAAAGTCCCCCCCTGACAGTGACAAGATAAGGGGAGATAACATCTGATAAGAGCTGACTTTTATGAGCGTAAAGGAGGGTAATATTACATGACCATCGCCTCCCCTTTTTTTTTGCTGGTACACAAACATTTCTGTCTGTCTATTTGTCTGTCTGTCAAGTCCTGTCTGTCCATCTGCTCTCTGTCTCAGAGAGAGCCACAAGACTGTGTCATCACGTTTTACTCACATCTTCAAGCAGAGTATAGCACTTTGTCTGGATTTTTGGGTTATCCTAGGTAATTTACACTATGTATACTTGTATTTATGTGTACCTGTGAGACAGAGATAGGCAGACAGAAAGAGAGACAGATTGAAAGATATAGAATGAGGGAGAAAGATAATTAGATAGAATGGAGGAGGGGAAGCAGCATCCGACCCCATTGTTTTGACAGGTGGGAGGGGGAGTGGACTAATGAGATAATATGTCACTTTGACAGCTGCCGACTTCTGACTCAAAACAATTAAAGCCACACACTCGCACACAAGACAAGGAGGAGGAGAAGGGGAGGAGAGGAGGAGGAGGAGGAGGAGGAGAAGGGGAGAAGAGAGGAGAAGAAGGAGGAGAAAGGGAGGAGAGGAGGAGGAGAGAAAGGGGGGAAGGAGGAGAAAGAAGGAGAAAAAGGAGAAGAGGGAGGAGAAGAAGAAGAAGAAGAAGGAAGAAGAAGAAAGAAGGGAGAAGAAGAAGAAGGAGAGAAGAGAAGAGAAGAGAAGAAGGAGAAGAGAAGGAGAAGAAGGCAAGAAGGGAGAAGAGGTAGAAGAAGGAGAGAGAAGGAAAGAAGAGAAGGAGAGAAGAAGGGGAAGAAGAAGAGGAGAAGAAGAGAAGGAGAGAAGAGAAGGAGAAGAAGAAGAAGGAGAAGAAAAAGAGAGAAGAGAAGAAGGAGAAGAAGAAGAAGGAGAAGAAGGAGAAGGAGAAGAAGAAGAAGGAGAAAAAGGGAAGAAGGAGAAAAAGGGAAAGAAGGAAGGAGAAGAAGAAGAAGAAGAAGAAGAAGAAGAAGAAGAAGAAGGAGAAGAAGAAGAAGGAGAAGAAGAAGAAGAAGAGAAGAAGAAGAGAAGAAGAAGAAGAAGGAGAAGAAAGAAGAAGGAGAAGAAGAAGAAGGAGAAGAAGAAGAGAAGAAAGAAGAAGAAGAAGAAGGAGAAGAAGAAGAGAAGAAGAAGAAGAAGAAGAAGAAGAAAGAAGAAGAAGGAGAAGAAAGAAGAAGGAGAAGAAGAAGAAGGAGAAGAAGAAGAGAGAAAAAAGAAGGAGAAGAAGAAGGAGAAGAAGAAGGAGAAGGAGAAGGAAGAAGGAGAAGAAGAAGAAGGAGAAGAAGAAGGAGAAGAAGAAGAAGGAGAAGAAGAAGAAGGAGAAGAAGAAAGAAGGAAGAAGAAGAAGAAGGAGAAGAAGAAGAAGGAGAAGAATAAGAAGGAGAAGAAGAAGAAGGAGAAGAAGAAGAAGGAGAGAAGAAGAAGGAGAGAAGAGAAGAAGAGGAGAAGAAGAAGAGGAGAAGAAGAGAGGAGAAGAGAAGAAGGAGAAGAAGAAGAAGGAAGAAGAAGAAGAAGGAGAAGAAGAAGAAGGAGAAGAAGAAGAAGAAGAAGGAGAAGAAAGAGAAGAAGGAGAAGAAGAAGAAGGAGAAGAAGAAGAAGGAGAAGAAGAAGAAGGAAGAAGAAGAAGAAGAAGAAGAAGAAGAAGAAGAAGAAGAAGAAGAAGAAGAAGAAGAAGGAGAAGAAGAAGAAGGAGAAGAAGAAGAAGAGAAGAAGAAAGAAGAAGAAGAAGAAGAGAAGAAGAAGAAGAAGAAGAGAAGAAGAAGAAGAAAGAAGAAAGAAGAAGAAGAAGAAGAAGAAGAATTGTTTGTTTGTTTGTTTGTTTGTTTGTTTGTTTGTTTGTTTGTTTGTTTGTTTGTGTAAACAAGTTTTGTAAACAATATATTGATAATTATGTTTGTGTGCTTATTGTGTTGTATACAACGAGTGTATATATATACATTGCACCTTACTTTGGTCTCATAGGCCACATAAGTTATGTGAAAAAATAAAATAGTGAAAAAAACAACAAACCTTCAAATACAAGTAAACTAAAGTTTACCGGGTGAGCGGCAGTCGCCGCTGTTGCCATACGCGGCTCATTTTCTGCAAACTTCACGGCTCTATATCTCGGTAAGTACCAATGGCAAAAATTTTTTTTTTGGACTAAAACACTCAGAAAAATAATCTTAACATTTTCATAAGAAAAAATAATTTTTTTTTTTTTTGAATATTTGGCGACATAGAATGACAGTTTCAGAGAGGGGCCTGAAACAGTCAAAGGGTTAAATCAAGTACAGTGGACCCCCGGTTTTCAATGGCATTGGTATCCGTTAAATCCGGTATTCGATACATTTTAATGCAAAAATTTTGCCTCGCCACTCTTTAAGAAACCCACCACACGCAATTCGTCCAAGACGTGTCCACGTGTGGCCTGAACTGCTCCGTGCGTGCCAGTGTTTACAAGCTGGCCAGTGTGCTCGCATCTAAGGATACATTCGGTACATTCCATATTATCACAGTGTTTTTGGTGTTGTTTCTGCAAATAGTTACCATGGGCCCCCAAGAAAGTTCTAGTGCCAACCCTGTGGTTAAAGGGTTTGAGAATTAGTTGGAAATTAAGAAAGTTTTTTGAAGGGTTTGGGGCTAACCCTGAGAACCCTATGCCAGTTGTGGAATCCTTGTGCTTACTTCAAAAATTAAGGAAATGTGTGCCAAGTGGGTTGAACGGGAAAACCTTTATGGATGAAAATCACCCTAACACAGCTACTGAAAAGCCGTGCTGGTGATTTATTACAATGGACAGATTTGTTGTGTGACAGAAGTCCAGTGACTCTCAAGCTGGTCCTGTGGCATTAAAAGAAGAAGGGAAGTAACCCCGGGAAAGGACTTGCTACCTCAAGTCCTAACGGAAGGGGATTCCCCTTCTAAACAATAAGTTTGACACTCTCCCCTCCTCCTGTGGAGAAATTTTCTCCGGGGAGGGGGGTATCAGCCCCCTTCAGCCCTTTCACCCCTGGGGGGCCCAAAGCCCTCTCAGAAGGGGCGAGCGTCTTGTTTATGCTACAGTGAGTAATTGATCACAGATGCCGTACGAGTATGCGTGGTCAAATGACCTCTGCTCCTTGCAGCCCAGTGTTGCAAAGTGTATTTTTATAAGAGACAGTACATCTCTTACTTTAGCAGGACAATTTAAGGAAAATCCTGCTCCCACTTTATTACCATAGTAAAGATAGTGGACTTGTTGTCTATGCTTAAGACAGCAAAACAAACATTCGGCTTTGCTTCGAGGAAGTGGCAAGGAAGCAAAAAGTACTAAGTCAGCATTTTTTTTGTGCAAGGGGCAGTGGCGGCATGGGGCACTGTGGCGTCTTCAGATTACTTTTGACTCTACTGAGAGTGACACTGACGCCAGGATAACCCAACAAAGAACACTGATCTGTGCGTTAGTGTGGACAAAGTGTCTCACAAAACACGATAAACACTTACAGAGAAGTGTGATCAACTTCTTAGTGATATTGTGTGAACAATTATTGATGAACAGTGTAACAACGAGTGTTGCGATCCAACAGAGTGTAGTGCGACATTCTTCAAAGAACACTATTCTTCAATCAACTCAACGGATATCCGGGCGTAATTACGGGTAGATACACTTTACCCAGGTAAGTGTTCTAACTCGTGATGTACTATATTGACTGCGCAGTTGAGTATAAAGTCGTGAGTTAGTCACTTATCATAAACCCCAGTGATTGCGGCCCTTGGTCCACACAAGTAAGTCGTTGGCCATCATTGAATGAAATATGCTGACATAACACCCCCTAGGGGCAATTTATAATCTTACAAATTGTAACTCTTCACA